CCCCCCACCCCTCCACATGGACGCCACAAATGTCAAGCGCCGCCGCCGCCCGTCCAGCCCGCCGCCGACCGCCCCGCCCGCACCAGCCGTCCGCAGTACCTCGGTCGCGCACCAGCAGCCGCCGACCAGCGACGACGACGCGGCGCTGCGGGTGGCGCTGGCGAGCGTAGTGCGGCCTGTGCTCGACTTTGACCGGGAGAAGGTGTGCTCGGTGACGCTGTCGAACCTCAACGTGTACGCCTGCCTCACCTGCGGCGTGCTGGTCCAGGGCCGTGGGCCCGACTCGGTCGCCTACGCCCACGCGCTGGAGACCGGCCATCCGCTGTACATGCACACAACGACGACTGCGGCATGGATGCTGCCCGACGGCACGCCTGTTCCGCCTGCGCTGCTTGCCGACGTCGCCGCCGTCCTTCGCCCGCGCTACGCGCCCGCTGACATTGCCGGCATCGACGCCGCCGCCGCTGAGGCGCCCGGTGTCGACCTGGCCGGCAACGCATACCTCCGCGGCGTTGTCGGCCTTAACAACCTCTCCGCCACCGATGGTATCAATGCCGTCCTCCTCGCTCTCGCCCACGTCCGTCCGCTCCGTGACTTTGCCCTCGACGACGACGCCGTCGCCGCTGCCGCCCGCTCGCCGCTCGCCTCCGCCTTTGGCGCCTTTGTCCGCAAGGTCTGGCACGGCGGCAACTTTAAGGCTCACGTCTCGCCGCACGAGCTGGTCCAGGTCATCGCCAAGCTCTCGCGCAAGCGCTTCCGCCCGGGTGTCCCCTCGGATCCGCTCGCCTTTCTCGTCTGGTTTCTCAACGAGCTTGCGCGGGGCATCAAGCTGCCCAAGGCCCAGGCCAAGGCCCTGTTCGCTGACGCGCGCTCCCGCCTCGACGGCGAGCTGCCGGCACCGGCCAAACTCTCGCGCTCGCTCGTTGATTTGCTCTTCCGCGGCAAAGTGACGACTCGGACCGAGGAGCTTGAGGGCGGCGCCGCCGCTGTCCGCGGTGACTGGATCCCCATCTCGGTTGCCACCGTCCCGTTCCTCTTCCTCGCGCTCGAAGTTCCCAACCCGCCGCTTTATCCGTCGGACAAGGCTGCCGAGCTGGCTCACCAGGTATCTCTCGCGCAGTTGCTTGCAAAGTACGACGGGGTGACGCCGACCCACATCGGCGCCCGCCGCCGCAAGTACATCATTCCGCAGGACGGCCTCCCGCGGTTCTTGGTTCTTCACCTCGACCGCTCGGACGCCGCTGGCTCGGGCGCATCGGGTGCGTCGGGCGCGTCGGTCACAGCGCCGCCTCCTCCTTCAGCGGCATCTGCCGCGCTTCCGGACACTTCCGCCAATGCCACCGTCGTCAACTTTCCGCTCGACAACCTCGACATGGCGCCGTACCTCGCGCCGGCCGCTGCTGTCGCCAACTCTGCCACCACCTATGCGCTTCTTGCCGCCATCACTCACGAGCGTGAGGCCGGTCAGGCCTCAGGCACCTACGCCGTGACCATCGCCCCAGCTTCCAAGCCTGGCGAGTACTTTCGCGTCCTCGACCTTGACGTCACGCCTGTGCCTGCCCTGTTGTCTCGGTCTCAAACGCGTGTGTCCTCATCTATGAGCTCAAGGCGTAGTGTTTGATGCTCGGGACGTCATGTCCAACTTTGCGCTAGATCCAGGGGTGCATCGACCTCGCGCCCAACTTTGAACTGCGGAACAACCCACATAGCCTTGCTGTTCACGACAAGGTGCAACGAGGTTGAGCTCTTGTGCGCGAGCTGGGTTGCCTGCCGCGGCACGACTGTGGCCGTTCGATGTGCAGTCTCGGCAGCGGATTGCCAGGAGACGAGGCCAGCGTCGCCAAGAGCGGTCTTGACATCAAACATGGTGAGCGTGAGAGCTGTATCGAGCGTGTCGTTCCACACCAGAACCTGAGGATTGCTGCTGCTTTCCAGCGTGACAGGCAGGGCGGCGCGCGCGTCGTCGGTGAGGCCGTCCATGGCACGCTCCGCCTCACGCTCGCTGCTCATCAAGGCCTCGGCCGTCGCCAGTGCCTCGGCAAGCGCTGCTGCATGGCCGCCAGTTGGGCCGGCTGTGGGCGAGAGAGCGAGAAAGGCCGGTGCGAGCGGCGGATATGACGACGCCAACCGCCAGTCGACAGTCCGCGACACTAGCTTTCCGGTAATCAACGGCATGATCCTGGTTTGTAGCAAGGCGTAAACCATGTAGAGAGGAAGCGAGCGTGGGAGCCGGAGCGCAATTGGCTGCAACGACACCCGGTTGTCGCCAGTGAGGGTTCGGGCCAGAAGCGAGTTCATCGGCTCCGAGTCGGAGAGCGTCATCAGATCCAGAGCGGTGATGCCGTCTGCTGACGGCCAGGCAGGATGCGCCACCACGTTGAGTGCCTTGTCGGACGCAGCATGGTGCATAATGTCGACGACAACCCATACCGCGTCGCATGTGTCGGAGAAAAACAGCGACGCAGCAGCGGCGGCGATCGAGGCCTCGGCGTCGTCGGCACAGCGCTCGATCCAGGTCTTCTTGCGGATCGCCAGCCGCTGCAGCGCGTCGAGGTACTCAACCCGGGTCGTTGCGCCGTGACTCCACCAGTAGAGTGAGACCGCCAGCCGCGGATTGCGCTCGAGCCGAAAGAGCAGATCGTCGTACGACTCGACGGCGCGGTAGATGCGATGAATGGCGTCGAGCGCGGCGCGCGGCGACGGCCCACTCTTCCAACGCAGCAGCACGTCGCGCTTGCTATGCGGCAGCGCTCCAAGCGGAAGCATGAGCCCTGGAATGTAGTCGACTGAGCCATCGGAGAGCGTCGACATGCCCTTGCGCCCGCGGATCGCCCGCCGATCGATAGCCGCCAGAAGCGTGCATGCCTGGTGCAGCTCCCGCCGGACTCCGGGGCTCGCCGCTTGCTCCTCGGCGCGTGCGCACAGGCATAGGTTGCACACCGGTGCCTCGGCCTTGCGCTGCGTGGCAATGTACTCGGTAAGCCGGTAGCATTCGCCGCAAAGGCTGCACTGCAGCTTGAGGACTGACTTCTTCTGCGCACGTCGCCGCTCCGTCTTGGCCGACTTGGCCACCATCTCGGGCTCGCTGTCGCTGCTGGCCCCGTCTTCTGCTTCCTTTCGGGCCCTGCGCGCCTCGGCACGCCGCTGGAGCTTGCGGCGCGATCGGCGGGCCATGTGTACAACTGTGGGCGTGGGGCGTGTGGGTGGGGCGGCGGATGCGGCGAGGGGTAGTTGCCGTCTTCGAACCGGCTCGTTCGGCTCGAGTCCAAAATGGAAAACCCGCATCAGGTGACGATTCACTGATTTACTCTTGGTCGGATCCGGGCGCCGGCGCATCGTCCCCAGCTTTGTCGTCCATTGGAGCCGGGCCTTCGCTCTTAGCCTTGCCCTCGTCCATGGGAGCGGCGGTCGTACCCTTTGCCGCAGCCTCGGCCTCGGCAGCATGGATGGCGGCGACAGCGGCAAGGCCAGGATCGGGGACCGGAACGCCGCGGGCTTGCGCCAGGCGGCCGAGCTCGTAGGCCAGCTCCGGCTCGCCGTGCCACAGGTTGGCGGAGAGCTGGGCCTTGGCCTCAAAGTCCTTGACGTCGAGATCCTTGTCATGCCGGCCAGTGAGATGCTTGAGCACGTGGCCCACGGTCCGGAAACGCTTGCCGCACTCGAGGCACTTGACCTTGCCCGACTTGGAGACCTCGTAGAGGCTGGCGGCCGAGGCCGCTGCTGAGGCGATGGACTCGGCGGCAGCGGCAGCCGCGGCGGAGACGCCGGCGCTATACGCCAGAGTCGGCTCAGCAGCGGCGCGGCTCAGCCGCGCCACCAGGCGGCCGTACGGCGTCCACTCGCCGCCGCGGGAATGGGTCAAGACTGCGTTCTCAACCGCAGCACACCACCCGTGCCCGGTTCCGCACGAGCCCAGGAGGTGCAACGGGCCGAGCGCCACAGGACCGGCCTCGCACAGGGCGCAGAAGCCGTGGACAAACCGGAGGTAGCCAAGGAGGAGAGAGTGAGTGACGGCGACGCCGCTCTCGGCCAGAACACGGGTGATCGGCTCGAGACTGGCGGCGGTGTCGTATGCATCGGCGGCGGCCCGCAGCTGGACCAGCAGCTCCGCGGTAGCGTCGGCCGACGGCGGGGCGGCAGCGGCGAGGCGGCGGTAGGCAAGCGGCGGCACGACAAGCTGATACTCGTCGGCGGCGCTCGGGTCCGAGCCCATGCGGAGGAGGAACGACGATGTGTCCTCGTTGTTGCGCGGAGCAAAGACCTTGTTGTCCAGGCACACCATGACTCCGCGCGCAGCCTCGATTGAGCCCGTCAGCACGACCAGGTACGAGGCGTGGATGTTGCGGACCGGCGGCGGCGGCGCGCCGGCGGCGGCGCACTGACGGCATCAAACTCCTCCACCGCAGCCTGCGCCGAGATGTCCGACGGCAGTAGCGCGACGTCAAGCACGCCGTCGACCTGCTCCAGCTCTTCCAGCACACGCTCGACCGAGACCAGGCTCGAGACAAACGACGACGACTGGACTGCGTACAAGTGCGGGGTGCCCGCCCAGTGCAGCTCGAGCATCGATGCCCGCGGTGCCTCGTCCTCGCCCGGCACCTCCAGGCTAAGCTCGGCCTTGGCCACCACGCCTGCAAAGTGCGCCGCCCGCGCCGCCACCAGCCGCTGCATGTGCTCGCCGAGCTCGCGCCGGTCCGCCAGCGCATACACCCGCCGCATCCGGCCCATCTCGGACGTCGGATCTGCAACAGACACCCGCTCCACAAACTCGCGCGCAAGCGGATGATCCTGCGCCACAGGCACCACCACCCGCGGGGCAGGCTGGCTCTTGCCGCCGGCGCCTCCAGCCCGGCGCCGCCCGCCAGCACTGCCGGCACTTCGCCGCCCGCCGCCGCGGCCGCCCGCCCGCCGTCGCGGCGCAGGCGGAAGCGGCGGCATCGGTGGCAACAGCGATCGCTCCATCCGCGCCCGGCCTCCAATCGGCGCCGGCGGCGCCAGCGCCGGATCGTCGCGTTCGCGTGACCGTGACCGCGCCCGCCGTCCGCCACCGTACCCGCCGCCACCGTACCCGCCGCCACCGTATCCACCGCCACCGTACCCGCCCCGGCCGCGCTCACGGTCGCGTTGGCGGTCGCGCGCCGGGCCGCCGTACCCACGGTCGCCCCCACGCCAGCGGTCACTAGCGGCAGGCGCTCCACGGTCGTACCCACGGTCGCCACCGTAACCGCCCCGGTCGCCGCCGCGGTCGCCACCCCGGTCGCCGCCGCGGTCGCCACCACGGTCGCGGTCGCGGCGGGAGCCGCGGTCACGGCCACGGTTGCGGTCGCGGTCGCCGTACCCATAGCCGCTCATTGTACGAGCGAGAAGGAAGGAGGGAGTCGGGTGTGTGGCCGGGCCAGTGTGCGAGGGCGGAGGGAAAGAGGGAGGGGAGGGTGACGGCGGACGGATCGGGCGACAGCACACCCGCGCCCACAGCCTCAGCCACAGCCACGGTTGCCACCTGGTGGCCGACTGGCGAACTGCTCCTGCCCTCCCCCCTCCCCACCGCTCCCGCCCCCCTTTCCCCCCTCCCCCCCCCCCCCAAAACCCCAACCCCAACCCCCGCCCCTAACCCCCACCCCATGCGCGACTCGTCACGCCTAAACGCGTACCAGTCGGCCGAGTCGTTCGAGGGCGACGCCGCCCGGCTCGGGCTCTCCGTCCCGCCGGCCGACCCGCACGCGCCGCTGACGTATGTGACTGCCTCTGCGCGGGCAGCAGGATGGGCGAGCAACTACCACTTGCGACAGGGCAAGGAGATGTACGCCAGGCGCATGCCCATGCGTGGGCTCGAGTCGCTCGACCGCATTCTCGCCCCGGATGCGCCGCGCGAGGCCTACCGCCGGCGCAACAAGTCGTACAAGACGGTCAACCACTGGGGCCAGCGCAAGCTGCTCATGTCCGAGGTCGAGTTCCTCACTCTCTACGCACGCCCAGGCGATGTGGTTGTCTACGCAGGCGCTGCGCCGGGCGCCCATACCGCTTGGCTCGCCGACCAGTTCCCCGCCCTCTCGTTCGAGCTGTACGACCCGGCCGACTTTGTGCCCGGCCTCGGCGACCACCCGCGCATCGGCGTCCACCAGGAGTTCTTCACCGACGAGATCTGCGCCACGTACGCCGGCCGCGACAACGTCCTCTTTGTCTCTGACATCCGGACGGCAGACTGGAAGGTCATGGGCGAGGAGGAGGTCGAAAAGTCTGTGTACGAGGATCAGCTCCGCCAGCAGGGCTGGCACGACGCCATCCGCCCACGCTACTCAATGCTCAAGTTCCGCTTGCCCTGGGGCGCAGGCTCGACCCAGTACCTTGATGGCGCCATCCATCTCCCGGTCTGGGGCCCCATTACCACCACCGAGACTCGCCTGGTTGTGGCCCGCGACGCGCCCAAGGTCGACTGGGATCACAAGGACTACGAGGAGCGCATGTTCTACTTCAACACCGTCACTCGTGTCCACTACTACGATCATCCGGTCCGTGTCCCGGGCATTTGCCACTGCTACGACTGCGCCTCGGAGGTCATCATCCTCCGCGAGCACATTGCCGCCCGCTACCCCTCTCTCACATACGCCCAGGTCATGGCTCGGGTCACCTCGCTCCTCCCCGAGATCTCCAAGCAGATTTCCAAGGGCCGCAACCTGACCACCATTGTCGGCGACCCGTCGCAGCGCAACCCGTGGTTCACCGCCCGCCGCTTTGACGTCGTCAACAAGCGCATCGTCAACGACCCGCGCTCCGCACGCGCGCTCGTCCAGGAGAAGAAAGCCCGCGAGTCCAACGACGGCCACCGCAGGCCCATTGATGCCATCCTCTCCGATCTTGGCGGGACGGCCCTGAGCACCTCACCGCTCAAGCGCTCACGTGATGACTACGAGTCCGGCTCGGCGCCCACAAGCCGCTTTGACCGCGGCGGCGAGAGTGGGAACGATGACGACGACGACGACGACGGCGATGACGCGGCTGCGGCTGCGGCTGCTGCTGCCGCCGCCACCGCCGCAGACGATGATGACGACGACGACGCCCGCCCCGCCAAGCGCGCAAAGGGTCTGACCGCAACGTGAATGGTTGTAAACGTGGACCAGGTTTACGTCATTGGCCTACCTCGGTGTCGGCCGTGGCCGCGGCGGCTTGCCGCTCGCCTTGCTGCTCCGCTTGCGCTTGAGCACGATGCGCGTTTTGGAGCCCGGATGCTGCAGCGCGTTGGCCGAGAGGAGGACAAGCGGCATGTCGGTGTCGAGCAGCGGTGCCAGCCGACCGGACAGCTCCATGAAGAGCTTAAACTCGGACGAAGCGGCTCTAGTCAGTGCCGCTACGCCGTCGGCCAGCTCAGCCACGGTACCGGATCCGGTGAGCTCGACTTGGACTACCGCGCTGTCTGGAAGGTGAACTGCGACGGGCGCTGTCGACCGGTACACCACCCGGGCGCCACTGACCCGGATTGCTTCGAGTGACTCGTGAGGGAGGACTAGCCGCTCGCCACTGCTGTTTCCGGCGCGCGGCACAAACAAAGCACCCGGCGTGCCGGTCCGTGTCAGCTTGGCCGCTCGCTTGCACACCTCCTCCACGGTTGTGGTCGGCAGGAGCGTGACCGATCTCGTCACACCGAGGTCCGCCATCACAATCTTGAGCTTGACCTTGCGAGGCAGCTCGCCCGAGGCTTGCGGGCTTGCTCGCGCAGGTGTGCGCGCGGCCGAGGTCGGAACTGCGGCTGCGGTTGCTGTTGCTGCCGGCCGCGGACGCGGTGCCGATGCCACTGGCGGCGTCGTCGCTTCAGATGACTCGGACGTTGGCGACGAGGGTGAGCATGCCGCGGCCAGGGCTTGGGTCACCCGTGGCGGAGACGGATGGAGCAGCTCGGCCACTTGTGCCGAGCTGCGGAAGAGCGGCGCATCGTGAAAAGCAAACTTGAGCGCCGAGCCAAACTGGACAACGTCACCTGACGTCAGCTGTGTCCCGCTCGTAACCGACTTGCCGTTGACCGCCGTGTGCGCAAGCGGGAGCGGCCAGAGGTGGACGGTCGACGGACCGCCAAGTGGCGCAGTGCACACGAGCGTGGCGTGCTTGGGTAGGACACCCGGGCCCACAATGCGGATCGAGCCAGGATCCTCGTCCGAGAGCTCCGAGCCGAGCTGAGTCACGCCCGACGACGAGATGTAGAACAGCGCGACCGAGTCCATGGCGAGAACAGACGTGACGTTGCGGAAGAACGGCGAGCGCTGATACACGCGGATGATCTCGAGTTTCGACCACTTGCCGGCAGCGGCCATGGCTGCCGAGCCAGGACCACTCACACCACCCTCCATGTCGTGCAGCGCAGCCGCGAGCGCTGGGTCGAGTGACGGCGAGACCGGGTGCTCGCCTGTGGTGCGCGGACTCGCGGCCTCGCCGGCAGCTGGAGCAGAACCGGGCCCGTTGGATGCCATCATGAGCGAGAGAATGAGGTTCCTCGAGTCATCGCAGTGGCGCTGGATTGACTGCGACCACGCGCGCATCTCCTCAAAGTCCGAGGCTGAGGTGGAGGGTGCCATGGACGCCACCGGAGATGCGTAGTCGAGCTGGAGCTCGCGCGACGGAGCGGCTGGCGAGTACAAGTCACCGCGGTGGAGTTTGAATGGCGTACCAGTAGAGGCTGCGCCGTCAGAGGCGGCAGCTCCCGGCGAGGCCGGCTTGCCTGATGCCGAAAGCGCCGAGCGCAGACGCTCGATCTCGGAACGGAGCGAGTTGATGAGGGCGACGGTGGGATCCTCGTTGACAACGGCTGCGTTGACGATGGACGAGGCACGGACGGCGTAGCGGAGAGTCGACATGGTCTCCTCTAGCACGGTGTCCGCGGGCGAGATGTTGGCGAGCATGATGGTCTTGGCGTTGCCGCCGAGCGACTCCTTGAGGAGCCAGGTGAGGACCGACTCGCGGTAGGAGATGTGGCGGGCGCCGTCTGAGAGCTCGGTAATGACCTTGGAGAGGTAGAAGAGTGACTTGTTGATGGTTCCGGCCTCCTTCAGCTGCTGGCCCTGGGCGCCAGAGAGCGCCACGCGCTCCGAGCCGGCCAGGTCGACGAGATTGATCTTAGAGACCTTGTCGGCAATGGTGTTGGTTGCTGGGTCAAAGGTGGTCTGAGTAAAGACCATGGTAAAGATGGCGTGCGAGCGCGAGGAGCCGGCGTTGATGTTGGTGGCGGCGGTGGCGCGGAGGGCGAAGCCCTGCTCGAGGACAGAATCGAGGGCGTCGAGGTCAGAGACCGAGACCCGCGAGAGGTTCTCGACATACGGCCCGGTGACCGGATGTTCGCGGACGCGAAGAGCTGAGCCCATGGCCGGGTTGAGCAAGTCCTTAACCCGCTCGTTGTAGATCTCCGAGAACGAGACCTCGATGGAGAACTGGGCCTGCGGTGAGTTGGCCGACGCGGCGACCATCGAATCAAAGAGGGCCGAGTAGATGCGCGGGATGAGGCCGCGAGCCTCATGCGTTCCGATCATCGAGTACGACTTGCCGGCACCAGTGACACCGTAGGCAAAGAGCGAGCAGTTGTAGCCGGACCAGGCGTCGCGGATGAGCTCGGAGCCGAGGGCGGTAAAGACGTCGGCCTGTGACGCCGGCTTTCCCTTGGCCGTCGGCTGCGAGTCGAAGCAGTAGTCAAAGGTAAACGAGCGCTGCGGTGGTGCCAGCGACGTGGCCGATGGCGGCGGCTCAACCACGACCGTCTGGCCCTCTGTCCGGATCACCGCCGTCCCGCCCATCGACGCCTCGCGGTCCGAGAGCGGGCGGACGCGGACGGCCACCCGGACCGACGAGGACGCGCTTACGGGCTCGGACTGCATGGGATACGGGGTGGGGGGTGGGGTGGTAGGAATGGATGTGGTGGTAGGTGTGGTGGTGGGAGTGGGTGTGGTGGTGGTGTGTTTGGTGTTTTGGGTTGCGGGTGGGCGTGGTTGTGTTGGGTGGCTGCGCGCCAAAACCGATTTGGTCGGTGCCTGCCGGCAGGCGGGCGGCGGTGGCGGGCAAGCTGCCAACAGGCCGTGGCCCGGAATGGTCACCGGTCGTTGATGACGAGGTTGGAGCCAAAGCCAAAGACAGCAGGGAGGACAGGGGTGGACGCAGCGCCTGGAGTTGGGACCATGGGAGACGGGATGGGAGTGCCGGCGCCGGACGAGGTCGGGGTGGACGATGGCGGCTCTGTCTCCGAGCCAAACACGATCCAGGCGGCAAGGAGCTGGTCGATGAGCGAGTGGCGGAGGGCGCGGAGCTCGGCGACTTCTGCACGCCAGTGCATAATGGTGACAACGGCACGCATGCCCTTGAAGACCTTGCGGCCATAGATGAGGGCGTTGGTGGTGGCAAAGCCGACGAGCGGCAAGCCGACGATGCAGATGGCGAGCCAGGCGTACCACGGGTTGAGGACAAGGGTGAGAGCAACGGTGATGGAGATGTAGATGACAGGCACAAAGACGACGATGAGAATGGCCTTTGCGGTGGCAATGGTGTCGAGCGAGTCGGTGGCCATCTTGCGCGAGACGATCCAGGCGAGGAAGTAGATGGGAAAGTGGACAAAGAAGCCGACAAGGGTGAAGGGGAGGAGGACGACAAAGAGGACAAAGCGGGCAACAAAGCCGAGGATGCCCATGGGGATGCCAACGTTGGTGGCAATGTGGTGGTCCTTGAGGCCTATGCTCTCGAGGCGGGTCATGTACTCCATGCCGCCGGCGCGGAGGGCGCGCATGGACGCCTCCTCGCGGTGGGCCTCGTAGGTCGCGAGAAAGGCCTTGGTAGTTGCCACGTGGTCGGAGAGCGCGGCGGTGGGCGCGACAGCGTTCTTGGCCATCTGCACCAGGCGCAGCGTGTCCCAGTCATCGGCATTGATGGTGACGCCGGCGAGCGCGTCGGCGATTTCGGCGGTGAGGGCGCGGACGGCTTCGGCCGGGTTCGCCTGGTAGGCGGCGAGGTGGCGTGGGCCAACGACGAGCGGGCGGCCATACTCAACGAGGACACGAGACCGGAACGACGAGCGCGAGAGGTAAGAGAGGCCGCAGGGAACAATGGTGATGGTGTGCTGGTGAGGATGCATGGCGTGGACGGAGGGCCGCGGCGCGAGGAGCGGGTCGGCGTCCGAGGCGGTCGATGCCGGGCTTGCCGCGGCGTCCATCAGCGGAGCGCCTGCGGCCTGGGCGAGGTAGCCGAGGGCGATGCGAGCGGTGCCTGAGCGGAGCGGCGCCATGCGCGGCTCAGCGTGCGAGATACCCTCAGGGAAGATGCCGATGCATGAGCCGGCGCCGAGGGTCTCAAAGAGAGCGGCAAAGGTGGCGGTGGTGGCGGCTTCGCGCTCTTCGGCGGTGAGGGTGCCGTGGTCCATGCGGCGCTTGACCGGGACCGAGGCGGTGAGCCAGAGGAAGAAGCGGAAGAAGCACGAGTTCCACAGCGTGTCCTTGGCCATGAACCGCGCCGGGCGCGGGGCGGTGGCGATGAGCAGCGACGGGTCGAGCAGGGCGTTGGTGTGGACAGCGGCGAGGACGACCGGCCCACCTTCGGGCACGTGCTCACTGCCCACCACTTCTACCGACCTGAAGAAGAGGGCGAGGACCAAGCGCAGGAACAGCCGCACCGCGTGGTAGCCCCAGTTGGCCATGACTGCGATGGGGGGTGTGTTGGGGGAGTGGAGTGGGGAATGGCTTCGGTTGCGGTTTGGGTTCGGCGGGCGAAAGGGGTTTCATGCGGTTGGCGGTCGGAGGCATCTACGGCTGTTTGGGCATGGGCTTGGGCTTGGGCATGAGCTTGGGCTTGGACGGCATGGCGGGCGCTGCAGACGAAGAAGACGGTTGGGCACTCTCGCCGTTGTCATCATCATCGTCGGACCAGCCGCCGTGCTCATCGATGTCGGCCGACGAGACGAGGGCGAATTTGTCGTGGAAGGCCTTGAGGAAGGCCGAGTGCATGTCGGCGGTCTCCTCCTTGGGAATGGTGGTGATGTCGACAGGCTTGGCGGCCTTGAGCTTCGTCTTGGAGAACGAGCGGATGTCGCCGAGCATGCCCGAACGGCCTGCGGTGACGGTGGGGCTGGCGGCCGGCGGCGCGCGGACGATGGCGCCGGCGGGAGACTTGTTGAAGTTGGACGGCGGGGGTGGCGGCGGCGGCGGCGGCGGCGGGTTGGCAGCCGGCGGGGTGGCAGCATTTGCAGGAGCCGGGGCAGGCGACACGGCGGCATCGTCGTTGGCGTCTGTGGGAGTGGGCACGGACTCTGACGATGGCGCCGCATTGTCCGAAGCTGCGGCCTCTTCGGCGAGCTTGACCTCTTGGTTCATGACATAGTCCATGACAAACTGGGCGTGCTCCGGGTGCTCGAGGTACTCGTCGCCGATGCCGAGGTGGCGGAACTTGTCGCGCCACTCGTCGGGGATATTCTCCAGCGAGTAAGTGCCGTCAGCGTCGATGCCGATGTGGGAGACGCGCTTAAAGTCGGTCGGGCCCGAGATGTCGAGCGGGGCCGGCTCGTCGTCGGCCTCGCCAGACATGGCAAAGACCGAGCCAATGTCAGAGACGACGCCGCGGACAGATTCGAACCACGACTTGCGGGCAGCCGGAGTCGACGAGTCCGCATCCGAGACGGCGAGCGAGTCTGCGGGCTGAGCGGCGGGGGCGGACATCTCGACGGGGACTTGGAAGAGGGTGACGTAGGTTATGGGCACGACACCGTGCTTGCCATCCAGGCGACCGTAGTACCATTGATTGTCAGACTGGGCGTCGAGGACCTCGATGACATCACCGGCCTTGAACGAGAGCTCTTCCTCGTCGCGGCCGGTGTAGTCATAGAGAGCGCGAGCGCGGAGGGTGACAAGCATGGCACGGAGCTCGTCGATCTGCTTGTTCTTCTCCTGCACGCAGGTGTTGGCCAGACGGGCCACGTCCATGACGGCCTCCTGCAGCTCGGACGAGTTCCCTGCGAGGCGCAACACGCCCTGGATGGCCACCATCAGCTCCTCAAAGGAAGCAGCAGCCTGCGCGTGCATGTAAGGAGGGAGGTGAGGGCGGTGGGGCGGGGGGGGGGGGGGGGGGAGGGGAAGGGAGGTAGGGGACGTACTTCGTTGGACATGGTGGAGAGGAGAGGTTGCGTGCAGTTCTGTGAGCGTGGAGATGTGTGTGTGTGTGTGTGTGTGTATGTGTGTATGTGTGTGTGTGTGTGTGTGCGTGTGTGTGCAAGGGAAAGAGGTGGAACATGGTCGCATGCGTGGTTCGCATGTGTGCCAATGTCACACTCGGCCGTTCCGACTCGTTTTGACCGTTCGCTTTGGCAGTGGCGGTGGCTGTGCGTTTGTTGCGCCACCACCCGCTGACCACCCGCCGCAACAGACACAGCGTGGTGTGTGCGGCTGGGCACCACTTCACTACCCCCCTCACTGCACCCACTGCGCCCACTGTATCCCTTGAACAGCCTGCATCCCCTGTACCTGCCTCATCCTCATCCTTACCCCCAGCCCCAGCACCAATGACCACGCTCCGGGTGACCGTGGTGGAGGCCGAGGGCCTCATGGCCAAGGACAAGCTGAAGGACGGGACGCAGACGTCGGATCCGTTTGTGGTCCTCCGCCACGGCAAGACCAAGTACTCGACCACCATCCACAAGCGCGACCTGTGCCCCGTGTGGAACGAATCGTACGAAATCCCGCTTGCTGTTGGTGAGGCTGAGCTCAAGGTCGAGGTGTGGGACCACGACAGGATCTCCAACGACTTCCTGGGCAAGCTCACCATTCCTGTCGACGAGCACCTCGACGGCGAGGCTCGCGACCGCTGGCACATCCTCCAGCCCAAGTCGTCGCGCAAGCCTGTGACAGGCCGGCTGCGGCTCATCATCCAGGCCATCGGCATCCGCGAGGATGAAGCAAATGTTGTCGACCGTGAGTCGCCGCTATTCTCGTCGGACGAGGACGAGGCACAGGACATTATCGCTGTCGGGCCTGATGGCCGGGTTTTGGTGCCCGATGCGGACGAGGACGGCTTGCCAGACTACAACGTCGCCACTGTCCGGATCAAGGAAGCCCGCGACCTCGGTAACCGCAACTACGACCCGTACTGCGAGATTTCGCACGGCAACCAGCTGCTGCGGACGCAGGTCATCGAGGACAACATGCATCCCAAGTGGAACGAGCAAATGTTGCTCGATCTCAACCACCGCGACGACTTTTTCACCTTCCGTGTCTTTGACAAGGCGCTACTGGCCAAGGACACATGCCTGGGGGAGGTCGTTGTCCGCGTCGCTGACTACCTGGATGGCAACATCCACGACGAGTGGCACGCCCTCCAGCGGCCGCCGAAAAAGTCTGGGCTCAAGCGGCTGACTCGGCTGCCGTTCCGCTCTAACTCTGTCTCGGGCGAGCTCCGCTTCGAGATTGTGTTGGAGCGCCGCGACACCAAGGTGCTCGACTACGAGCGCTCGACGTGGGTGGCGTCGTCTGGCGCCGATCCGTACATCTTTGAGGGAGTCTACCTCCTCTTCCTCGTCGTTGTCGTCATCTTCCTCAAGATCTTCTTTAACATCTAAATCACAGAATGAGATGCGGTTAACCGGATGTGGAGCCAGCGGCAGCGAGGAGGGCCAGGACATCGTCGTCGTCGTCGTCGTCTGACGAACAGGTAGCGGCAGAGGGCGGATCGTCGTCAGACGCAGCGGTGGCAGCCAGGAGGGCGGCGATGTCATCGTCGCCAGACTCTTCGTTGGCGTCAACTGGGACCGGGGCCGGGGCGCCAGCAGGATCATCGTCCGATGAAACACCGGCAGCAGCGAGCATCGCAGCGACGTTGTCGTCATCTGATTCATCGGCGTCGGTGGGAGCAGGAGCAGGCACAGCCTCATCATCTGATGAAGCGCCAGCAGCAGCGAGCATCGCAGCAACATCGTCGTCGCCGTCCGACTCGTCGTCTTCGACAGGAACAGGAGCAGGCACAGCCTCATCGTCGGACGAAGCACCGGCGGCCAGGAGAGCAGCAACATCATCGTCGCCGTCCGACTCGTCGTCATCGACCGGGGCAGGAGCAGGCACAGCTTCATCGTCTGACGAAGCACCGGCGGCCAGGAGAGCAGCGACATCGTCGTCGCCGTCCGACTCGTCGTCTTCGACAGGAGCAGGAGCAGGTACAGCCTCATCATCGGACGAAGCACCGGCAGCAGCGAGCATCGCAGCGACATCGTCGTCGCCGTCCGACTTGTCGCCTTCAACCGGGGCAGAAGCAGGCGCAACCTCATCATCGGACGAAGCACCGGCAGCAGCGAGCATGGCAGCGACGTCGTCGTCGTCATCTGACTCGTCGTCTTCGACAGGAACAGGAGCAGGCATAGCCTCATCATCGGACGAAGCATCGGCAGCAGCGAGCATCGCAGCGACGTCGTCGTCACCGTCGGACTCGTCGTCATCGACAGGATCAGGAGCAGGCACAACAGCCTCATCGTCGGACGAAGCACCGGCAGCAGCGAGCATCGCAGCAACATCGTCGTCACCGTCGGACTCGTCGTCTTCGACAGGAGCAGGACCAGGCACAGCCTCATCGTCTGACGAAGCACCGGCGGCCAGGAGAGCAGCGACATCATCGTCGCCGGACTTGTCGTCATCGACCGGGGCAGGAGCAGGCACAACAGTCTCATCGTCTGACGAAGCACCGGCAGCAGCGAGCATCGCAGCGACGTCGTCGTCGTCATCTGACTCGTCGTCTTCGACAGGAACAGGAGCAGGCACAGCCTCATCGTCTGACGAAGCACCGGCGGCCAGGAGAGCAGCGACATCATCGTCGCCGGACTTGTCGTCATCGACCGGGGCAGGAGCAGGCACAGCCTCATCGTCTGACGAAGCACCGGCAGCAGCGAGCATCGCAGCGACGTCGTCGTCGTCATCTGACTCGTCGTCATCGACAGGAACAGGAGCAGGCACAGCCTCATCATCGGACGAAGCATCGGCAGCAGCGAGCATCGCAGCGACGTCGTCGTCACCGTCGGACTCGTCGTCATCGACAGGAACAGGAGCAGGCACAACAGCCTCATCGTCGGACGAAGCACCGGCAGCAGCGAGCATCGCAGCGACGTCGTCGTCGTCATCTGACTCGTCGTCATCGACAGGAACAGGAGCAGGCACAGCCTCATCATCGGACGAAGCACCGGCAGCAGCGAGCATCGCAGCGACGTCGTCGTCGTCATCTGACTCGTCGTCATCGACAGGAACAGGAGCAGGCACAGCCTCATCGTCTGACGAAGCACCGGCGGCCAGGAGAGCAGCGACATCATCGTCGCCGTCCGACTCGTCGTCTTCGACAGGAGCAGGAGCAGGCACAGATGGTCGTTAG